GAACCATTGACGGGGTGCAAATGTTACATGGGAACCGGGAAGACGAAATGAAAACGTGCTACCCACATTTGTTTCTTGAGATTTAGATTTCGGGGATGAAATCTCCTTTTTAGAAGGGGATAATTGTAACATCCCAATTTAAAAAGTTAAATAAGAATATTTAAATGTTTGAAAGTTTGGGGTAGAATTGTTTTATAGTGAAAACCAAGGGGTTATAATGTCCTTCCCTCAATCTAGTAATAACATAAATAGGGGTTTTAAAAGAAAAGAAAAAGAAATAATGGAATTGAAGAGAGGAATCGGGAGAAGGAAGAAGATGACGATGGAAGTTATCATCTAAGGCTTCAACCTTGCTTTATTTCCATCTAATCGACAAATTAAGGTAAGTTCCTTATGTTTTAGTTTGATTTTTTGATATATTTGATGTTCAGGTTAGTATTGGATTCAATTTTTGGGATTTTTAGGTCTCAAAATCAAGTTTTAGAGGTTGTCATGAGGACAGCCATGTATATGTATAATTTCTATGAGAAAGCCTATTTTATGGTGTATATGTTTAGTCCCAATTGAGTCCAGTGTGTTATATCTTCACTTTGATGCATTAGAACTTAAAATCCTTCAATGATTGGAACAAAGTGGGTATTGTACATCTTGTTAGTAGAAGTAATTTTTTGGGTAAATTTATTTCATGCTTAGGATAATTTTGAGTTTATCTAAGATGTTCAATCATGAGTTAAAATTGAAAATTGTTATCTTTGACAATCTTTAAAAGTGAAAGTTTAGTGATGAACTTTAAGACACTAAAATATTCATGAAAATATTAAGATGTTTGTTATAGTTTGTTTCTTGGTATCATTAAGATGTTATTAGATGGAATGAAGAACAAAATTTCCACTCAAGCATATTTTGATGATAGATTAAAGGTTATGTTCAAAACAATTGACTTTTTCCAAAAAGTCAAATTGTTTTGCTTAATTTTTAAAATTAGGTCGTTATATGCAAAATTATGAATTGAAATTTGGTGGACATAGTTATGATAGGTATATAAAAGTGTTACAATGATTATTTCAATGTTTCTTATAGGTTTTGATGGTTTTCAAAGTTAAAAGAATGTTTGAGTTCATTTTGATAAATATATGAAAACCTATACATTAGTTAGGTTCTAAGTGCAAAAACGAATGTGTGAACCTTATAAACATATTTTAATGTGTATGATAAGCATGTTTTGGGGGTTATTATGATTCTACTGAGTTTCTTAACAACATGTCCATAGATCGACAACAACGAAGCGCTACAGAAGATGATGGTCAGTCAACTGAATTCTTACTGAATGGATTTAAAAATTATCTCGTTATTTGACTAACAGATAACAACTTCGCAATAGGAGAATACATAACGCTCTATAAAATGATTTGATTGAGCATATATGGCAAAAATTTGGTCATGATAATTAACTATGATTATTTATCTATTTAAGATATATAATTTTGTACTTATTTTTATGATTTGTTTTATTTAATTTCCATTGTATGATAAATTTTTTATAATTATAATTACGTTTTAAAATATGTAATGGTCCGTTTATTCTATTATTATCCTTAAAATTGAAAATTATATATATGAAAAATTAAATATATAACTTTTACAAAATAATATTTTAGATTAGATTAGACTGGAGGAGATTGCGGTTAAATGGGTACGATTGAATTGAAGTTGAAGATTGTATAGATGGATAAGAGAGAGAGAGAGAGAGAGAGAGAGAGAAAGAGAGAGAGAGAGTAATATCTTAATTGAGATTGAATTGTAAAGGATTGTGAGTAAAGATGGTCTAGGACTATGTTTAACGGCGATCCCAAGATTGAGATTGTGAACAGGACAAAATGGGGTTTATAAAAAAGAAAAAAACAATTAAATAGTCCGACCCCAATAGATCTCGATCATCACACGAACCGAGATTGTGAATTTTCCATTCTATTTCATCTGTCACATGGCACATTATTGGGTCAATGTTATATTTTTATTTTTTTAAATTTATCAGATAAAAAACGAATTTAACAAAAAAAATTAAAAAAATAATAAATGTATCAAAATTCATGGATTTTATTTATCTACAAATAGAACTCAATATTGACATATCTGCATCACATCAATCTTTCTCTTTATTTCAATCATCTCGTTATCTTGTGAATTCCAAAAAAAAACTGGAGAGTATTTTTTTTCAATTTTCTACTATGGATCCAAATTTCCCAAATTCTTTTTCAAATTCTCAACATCCTGATAACTCTCAGTATCACCCAAACACACAATATGAAAACTCTGAGTTTTTCATCTATGATAATCAAGTTTTTACCCTTGAAAATACCCAAACATCGCAAAAGAGTTCAAGAGCCGATAAATGGAAAACCAAATAATATACGGTGTTGATGTCAGCATGGATCTATGTTAGTGAAGAACCTACTCGAGACAAAAACTAAAAGAAACAGACATTTTGGTCCCGAGTGAAAGAATACTAAGACAAAACTCGAGCAGAAAATACAGAAGGGTCGAGAATCAGGAACGGAAATCAAATGAAAAGTCGTTTTGCACAACTTAATGAAAATGCAAACAATGGACTGTTGCATACAGTGAAACACATCGATAGAAAATGAGTAGAATAAGTATGAAAGATGTTGAGAAAGAGGCTGATGCAATTTATGAGATGAGTGAGAACAAATTTAATGACTTACTTGTTTTTAACGAAGTTATTTGTAAATATTTCAAGTGAGATTTACAGGTAGAATATGACACGTAGGGGTGTAAATGATGCGAGTCGAACTTGAGTATCACTATACTCGACTCGAACTCGAAACTCAATTTTCAAGCTCAAACTCGACTCGAAAACTCGCGAGTAGTAAAAATCAAAGTTCAACTCAAACTCAATAACTATTTCTCAAGCTCAAACTCGAACTCGAATCAAGCTCGAACTAAGCTCGAACTCGAATCAAGCTCGAACTAAGCTCGAACTCGAATCAAGCTCGAACTAAGCTCGAACTCGAATCAAGCTCGAATTCGAATCAAGCTCGAACTCGAATCAAGCTCGAACTAAGCTCGAACTCGAACCGGAACTGCAACTCAAATCAAGCTCAAACTCAAACTTGAATCAAGCTCGAACAAAGCTCACCCATTGAAATTTATGAAATTTTAGGGTATTTCTCTTATAAATTTTAAAACTTAAAAGTGTTCTCTTAGTTTTCATAAAACTAAAGGGATCAACTTCAAACTTCATCATCAAAAATATAAAGTTAGAAATTTACCTCCATATCTTTTTTATAACATCTTTTCTCCTTTCTTTACCATCTCTCTTTCAATGTGGGATAATTCCACCAACCCTTTTGTAGTTTTTCTTTGTCTTTTTCAATTGTGATTTTAATAAAAATTAATTAATTAATTTCTATAATTAAAAAATACATAATTTTGTTTAAATATCTAAAAATATAAGATATTTTATTATTTATATTTTACGAATTTTATCATAAAAACTCATTATATTTTAAAACTAATTATATATAAAATTATCGAGTATCTCACAAGCTCTTCGAGTCGAGTATTGAGTAGCTTGACTCGTTAATATGTCGAGTCGAACTCGAGTTCGAGCCGAGCCTATTCGAGTCGAGTGTTGACCAAGGTTTAACCGAGTCGATCTCGAGTAGCTCGCGAGTTGTCTCGTATCATTTACACCCCCGATGACACGACACATCCTCGTCCTCGCACATAATACCAAGCGGATAATGAAAAAAGTTGATGGAAAGAAAAAAAATAAAACCACAAAAGAAAGAGATTATTCTATCGAAACCCAAGAATCGCCATCTGTTGGTTCACAACTTCACCAATAATAAACACTTTTAAGTATTTAGATAAATAACTTATACCGGTGTCAAATCGATAATGAAGTTATTAACTTATCTATACTATCTTATTAAGCAAATTTAGCAAAAGTCTTAAAGTCTTAAAATACTAAATGACCAAAATACCCTTTATACTCACTTTTTCACCTCACCTCTCCTCACATACACTCACACCCTCACACCCTCACATACATTCACCCTCTCACAACCGATTTTTATTAAATTATAATTTTAAATTTATACTTTATACCCTTATAATTAATTAATTAATTTACTTTACGTCCTATACTTTTAAATGTTTCATTTTAAACCTTTATCAAATTAACATACATAATCGTATATCAATTAAAACATGTTAGAAAAATACATTTTTATTTTAACAAGTTACATCATTATAATCGTCTCGTTAATTCCTTCGAAATGAGTCCAATATTGAATAATTTTTGACTTAATTATATTATTATATATTATATATATATTGTGAAAAAATATTTTTAATATTTACGATTTATACTTTTATAGTTATTTATTTATATGTATACTATATATTTTGGGGTTAGGCTGTCCAAATTGCGCTGTATAATATGTTCTTGGGTTTTTTTGAAATATATATATACATATATTAATTCAACCTTAATCTGAGTTTCTGGACAAGAAAGAGGRTAAGCAGTTGAAATTTCATTCTAAAACCCATCTTTTTTTGTCTTTTCATGGCTTATGACCTGTCAAATTTGTAGTTTTCTTTATTGGTTTTGAGTGTTTATCTTAAAACTCAAGTTTCTTGATTCTTTGCTCTTGGTGTAAATCGAATACATTTATGGAGTCGTTTAAATATATTGGATTTTAAACTGTCATACAATTTTTTTCATCGATAGTCTGTAATTGGAACCATAACTCTTATTTATTCAAATTGTATTAATATGTAAAGACCAAGTGTAATAAATATTATCGTTAAATCTTATCTTATAAAACCAATAAAACTTCAAAATCGTTAAAATTCATGGCTCCCGCCACATTACACGGGGACACAACTAATAATAAGATAATAAACACTTAAAAAAAAAAAAAAAACCCACAAGTTAGTTTCAAACAATCAAACACGCCTAAATTTCATTCCATAGAGAACCTTTTGCGAACCAATCGGATGGATCAATTGGAAGCATAAACAATCATACAAGGGTTTTTGGCTACAAGGAATCGAAGAGTTTCAATCATTTTGAATTCCTGGAGAAAAAGAGAGGATGAGCGAGGAGGAGATTGGGAAGAAGAAGAGGGTGGTGGTAGAATCTCTAGGATGGTTGACAGAATCCTCAATCATGCCCAAGAAACACCGTGCAATCGCCGGTGTAGGGCCGTCGTCGATTCTTGAGCTGAAGGCCCAACTATACAAGTCTCAAGAAGAGGCCAAAACTATTAATTCTAACAAGAACCCCGACCAACTCGAGGTCCACCGTGCAAAGAAGAAGATCGCTCCTCATGATCCATTTGCCGCCAAGAACTCCGGCGTTGACGTTCGTTCTCACAAGTACGGAACCCTACCTTAAACTTAATTCTATCGTCTGTTTATTCTATTGTTACTATCCCTGGCCACGTCGTTTTTAGAATCAAAATTTCTTATGCATCAGCTTAGTCTAATTAGGGTTCATTAGGGGTATGTAACTCAATATTTGATGATATTGCCAACTTTATAAGCAAATACAACACCTTATCCATTCTTGTTTCAACCATTTTCTATGCAAGATCACTTATCCCTTTTAGATGAGCAAAACCCTGTAGTAGTCTGCATATCAACAATGTAACTCTCAGGTTGATCATCAAGTATCATAAGCTCCATCTCAAAAAGCTGAAAGAAGTACCTCAGTGTAATATAGGTTAAAAGAGGGACCTGATCAGGATTCATTTACTGAAGAATATAGAAGCTTATTAACTTGTTTATTTCTGTAAGAAAAAGGTGGTTATATTCTTTATCTCGAGTTATCTTTGGGGTTTGGATCGAGGGGTTTACCTTTAGGGAGTGCGCCCTAGTTTCATGGTGTAGTTGTATCAGCTCGATGAATATCACTTGAAAGAAATTGCTTCATGATATTGTTCATGCTCCTATAGTTGGCCAAAACGTTGAACCTTTATCATTTCATATGGTCTGCAGTTTAAGTTCCCTGGACCGAATTGATCATAGTAGACGGAGTCCATTTCTGTTTATATATTATGGTCTTCAAGCCATTTATCTGGTTATCAAAAGCCATTTCGAGAGTGATCTTTCAAAACCACTTTATCTTTTCTCCTTGGTGCATTCTTTTGCTGGTGATTAAGGTTTATGTTTGGCTTTACGTGAAATTGCTTAACCCACCATCTGTAGATGCCTTGTCCAGTTCATTTCAAGCGACCTTGTGGTAATTTATTGTGTTCTTAATATATTTGAGTTGAATGAAGAAGACACCTTATCCTGCATTGCATTGGATGTGAGAATGATATGAGAACAAAATTTAAAATTGATGTTGTTAATTTTTTTAGCAGACTTCTTTATAAGATGGGGCTATCTGGGACATCTTATTTGGACTGCTTGTACATTGTCTGCTGAGTGCAACTGTAAGATACTTGAATGGCTTAAGATGACCTTTGTGCATACAAATCTCTTCCATTCTCTATTCTATATTTTGTGGGTCCCGTTTTTATTGCTTCTTACATCAAGTAAAAGTAATTGATAATTACAATTTACATTTCACATATATAAATGGGGCCCACAAAACCAAAATGTTAAATGGCCTAAATGTATAAGACCGAATTTTATATGTGACTGTAACTTCTTATTAGCTTTATTGTTTACACCTTCCTTTTCTATGCATATATTTAGGAAGAGTGGTAGACTATTTTTCTCAAAAACTTGTATAATTTTCAGGGATGCGCTTGAGTTGAAAGCAGTCAAGGATGGGTCAGTCAGTTATGCAGCCCTAGAGAAGAAAGCCGAGTTGTATGAAAAGCTGGCAAGAGGAGAACTATCTGATGAGGAAGATAAGGAGAAATATTGTGTGGATTTCTTCAGTAAGAGCCTTGTAAAAGAGGAATCACAACAACCTCGAGGACATGATATGTTTTTCACAGAAATGGCCGAACGTGAGTCTGATAGGGATGACGAGCCTGTGTTGCCTGATACAAGAGCTATGGGGCTCGGCAGGGCAGCTGGTACAGTAGATAACGACGAGCATAAGCGTTTTGTAAGGTAATTGCACTATTCATTTTCATTTATATCTTTAAACATAGAGTGTCAATTACGACACTGTTTCTAGAAGATTGTCATCAAGAAAATGTTCTGCGTGGAATTATTTTGTTATCAAGAAAATATCTTGTGTATTAGAGTTCTGACTTTCTTTAAATAGTCTAGACTCTAGATCTGAAGGGATTTAGGGAAAAGAAAGCTTAGTGTTAGAGCTTGGCTCATCTATGTGTCATGGAATACTTTCACGCTTTTGTCTTTCTTCTATGCTTTTCTTTCTTACATGCTTATGTGTCCATTCCGTTCCATTAAACTTAGGGCAGTTGTGAAAGGTTTCACCTTTTCGTTTATTGACTCAACCGTTGTGTAGTGGTTTTTGGCATCAATAATTTCGTTCCTGTTATCTCACTCTGCATGCCCTATGGTTGAAATAATGTGCCAAAGACCTCATGGTTGACATAATCATTTGCTTATCAGTAAGAATATAAAGCATCTATATTGTTAAGTTACTTCTCATCCCTATTCTGTACATTCCGAGCACGAGAGGACCTTCCTGGATGTGTAGCACCTGGTTCTTGTCATGGTTTATTTGTTAGATGTTGCATGCACAAGTCAGAGTAGTATATCGGATATCAATAGTTTATGAATCGTCATTTCATGAGCACCTTTAGAAGCTACCTTAGGCACTTGAGTTCTAGATATTTTTAGTTGTGCCATATGGGTAAACCCATCAATACCTTTCACCTGTCTAGAAGCCACACTAGGTATAGGAATGTAGTTTTGCTTGGTTTTTTGGATCTAGAGTTTATCACCTGATTGAGTGTATGGGTGACTTGTCGGAGTATCAAATTGATATTTTCTCCACCAATGGTAAGTTCTGTTAAAAATTAATTTTGGTACATCCATCAGATCCCTCTCTGTTGATCATTCAAAGAGGTAATTTTTCTCAACATTGTAGCGGGTTAAGTTTATAAATCACTTGAATGTTAGATGAATCTTCTTCCGCTTACACCTTTAAATGCTATTCCCAAATGCAAAAATAGAAATTTGTTAGAAGTGGCCATGACGATGATGATTCATCATGATGTGTCTTAATTTGTTTTTAGGCGATGTGGTGACTAGAAATTGTTTGATTAATGGTCTGCCTTGTTCTACTTAAAGGGATAAGTTCCTTATTATGCCTCACGTTGTACGACTTTGCTTTTTCCAAGTTGACACCGAGATCTTTGTTTCTATGTGTATGAACTAATTTACACCATGGTCTGACCAAGTGTAACAACCTAGTTTCTTTATTTGATAAATCTCAATATTTCAGCCTTATATGCAAATAATTATGAATAATTCAATTACTCCAGCAGCCAAGTACTCCAGCTGCTGTTACATTTAGTGAAACATCTTAATTATAAGACTAAACAAGCTAGTGACGAGTAGTTAAGGCTAGAAGTGTGTTGGCAAATCTAGTAAGCATGACTAAGCAATCTAGTGAGTGATGAGTTGTTAAGGCTAGAAGTGTGTTGGCAAGTCTAGTAAGCATGAATAAGCAATCTAGTGATGAGTTGTTTAGGCTAAAAAAATATGAGTTGACAAGACTATTGATTACAAGACAAGTCTAGGAAGCATGACAAGGGTAGAAGCATGAGTTGTATAGATTCTCTTATTCTTAGAGATGTGTTGTCAAGATTCTCTTATCTTTATTGATGAGGTGTCGAACTCTCATAAGAGTAAAATCTTGAGAGCAAAAAGAACAAGTAGTTAATGCAATGAATTTATCTATAAATAGGGATTTAAGAGTCACTATTTATGCAAGCCAAAAAAATAAGAAATCTCTATATATACATAATTAAGCTTGAAGAAAGGAATCAATGGAAAAAGTAAAGTGAGTACTTATGTGATTTATGAGATACATGCTATATATAAAAGTATTTTATGCATTACAAGTTATGTTGGCATACTTGTTTTACATGAAAATATTGATACACATACATATTCAAGATATGCATGATGAAATGTTCTAATACAAGTATACACACAAGACATGAAATCATTTACATGTTATCATATGTGTTACAGAAGGCATGAAATTTTTTACATGTTATGTTAACCATAATATCCAACGTATGGGATATTACAAGAAGGGACGTCTTGCAAATGGACCTTATAGGGCAGCCTTTTATGGACCCGGGGGTTAGCAAACCTCAAGACAAGTATGGTATACATGCATGTGACAAGTGAGATCTNAAAAGAATGGTTTATGCATGATGAAGAATAGTATTTGATGAATGTTTATGCATGATAATAAAGAATATTTTTATACATGATCAAGAGCTTTAATGAATTATTATTCACAAAATATCATGAAAATTTCCCAAGCATGAAACCATAAATACTCACTAAGCTTATAGCTTATATATCTCATGTATGTATCTCAGGAAAGAAGGAGGATATGCATAAATTTGTATGGTTTCAGTCAATAAGCAAGTTTTTTTGTAATAAAAAGCTATGGTTACGTTTCTGCTAAGTAATTTCTTCTTTGATGTAATTTCAAGATATGTTATAAATAAAGCTGAATTTCTAGTCCAGATTCAAGATTTAATAGTTTTATCATATAAAGTAATGGCACCCAATATATATAAGGACGTGGGGAGTTACAAATGGTATCAGAGCTTTTAGTTTAAGTAAACTAAGATTTGCCTTAGATTAGGTAAGTTAGACTTAAAGCAAGGAAAATAACATCAAGTACTAGAATTTTATAATCATGTGTATAAGAGTTTAATAATTTCATATTTGTATCTCCTTTTAGATGGTTGATTCCGACACAGATTTCGACCCCGAGTTAGTGAAATTGAAATAGAATACGTTGAAAATAATCTACCTATTGATAATGACATAGAAGAAGATGAAGAATGGGAAGAAGAGGAAGAAGAGAAAGACATACCTAGAGAAGAACAAGATTTGCAAAGATAGATAATGGAAACTACACTACAAGAAAGAAATGTACGCCTAAACCAAGAACTAAAAATCAAGACAAGAACATTCCCGACTAAGATAAAAGACATGTCTTTTTCTAGTTACACAAATTAATGAAATTTTTAGAGGATGCATATCAACCCAAGTTGACTTACACTGGGATGGTGCATGACAAAGAAAATGTATTCAAATCGTTATCTTATAAAGTATGGCTACAATATCGCTACCCGCGCATTTCCACCGGTAGACAGAAGGATGAGAAGCCCGCGTCGATTCCCATGCACTAGAAACAGAGAAGGCATCCATCAGGATGAAGTAGCCAATGAAGTTTACCCGCGAAAAGCTTAACTAACAGAAAAATATGGAATAGGGTTGGATGAGTATGATTACTATCATAATTAGTTAAGGGAAATTTTGTATGATAAGTATATCCTTGTCACAATTTTAAGTATAGTTAGGATATTAGATAAGGAAATCTTGTAGAATGTACTCTTCCCAAACTTTGACACACACACACACACATATATATATGTATATGAAAATCATATATATTTATAAGTGTTCTCTTATATATATATATATATATATATATTTCAGATGAATGAAGGAATGAATGCCTTGAAGAATTTCTTTATAATATCCCATAGTTAGATCTCCTCACTTATGAACCAATAAACCCTCTCGGTCAAACCTCTCCACCTATCTAACGAGGAGATGAAGCTTATAATGAGCATGTTGTGCCGGGATTAAATCAAAGCAATGCTATTGTGATAGAAGACTCAAGTGAAGGAAATGGTCAAGAATATCAACTCGGTTTCCAATCACCCTTCCCTTGGGAGACATCAGAATTTATACCACTCATGGCGGTAATGAATGAGCAATCAAAGGATGCTGAATCTGGAACTAATCTAATAAATGAAGCCATAGTATCATCAGGATTAAGCCATGCAGATCTCAATATTCTCCTAGATAAAATAACTGAAAGTAATCATCAAACCGCAATAGCACAAGGAGAGGTACATGCTCAACGTGTGTACATTATGCAATTGAAGAACGAGATAAGGCAAGCACAAAGGGACAATGAAAGCTCAACTCGAATATTGGGTCATACTCAGGCCCAACTCTTAACCGTACCCAAGAGGAATTAGCCTGAAGTCATCAAGAGATTTCTCGTTTAACTAGCGAACTGTTGGGAGATCCTTATATGGAGGGTTATACAAGAAGAATGTCAAGGGGTTATTACCCTCATTAGTACGGATATAAGATCATGTTATATCGGGGTAAAAAGAAAAGGCAAATTTTCTTATTTCCTAAACTTTGTAGAAAATATCTCGAAAATTTTGTATGATGCATATGTTATATAATAATAAGCGTTGTATATTTATGTATTTATTTTTTCGTAGGATGAATACTCGAAGAATAACTATAAACGACGAAGGAAATAATACACCACCAAGACAGATTCAGAATAAATCCACAAGAATCTACTGGGGGAATTGATATAGCAACAAAATTTCCCGAGGTATCCAGGAAAGTCTACCAAGTGTAATAGCTTAATTTCAAATTGCTATGAATCAAGAACATGGGGGGGGGGGGGGGGTAGTAGAGAATCAGGCAGGCATGTACCAAATAATGGTCAAACTCATTAATGTGAGACTATAAAGCATTTACAAATGCTAGTCCATCCACGTTTGAAGGAAAAGATGCACCAATAGCTGCCATGAACTGGTTAGATGACATGGAAAGTTGTTTTCAAACATGTTAGTGTGCCTCCACTCAACAAGTAAGGTTTGCCTCAATCAAGTTAAAATTGAATGCCCTCCATTGGTCGAAAACTATTCAATCTAGGAAAGGTGGCAGAAGCAGTTGCAATGCCATGGGAAAAATTCAAGGATTCGGTCTATAAAAGATATTGCTCAGACACTCGAATGAAATAATGGAGGAAGAAAGAGTAAAGTTAGAACAGGGAAGCAAATCTGTAGAAGACTGTGGAAACTTTTATAGAAAAATCTCGATTCGCAACTTACCTAGTCGCTACA